ACGAGATCATAATAATAATAATAATTAATAATAATAATTAATGATCGTTTGAATGACAGATCAGAGAGGAGAAAACGAGGAGCGCCACGGGGGCTCGGAGTGGATGAATTATTGGGATTTTAAATAAAGATGGATTTTAAGGGAATAAAAAAGAGGGATTTGGGAAGATCCAGAGGCTCCGGGGTGTCCTGGCTCCGTCCCCCGAGACAGGGAGGGGAGGGCGAGGCAAAGGGAGGAAAACTGGAATAGGAGCAAAGTTTCCTTTTATTCCCAGATTTCTATTTTTGGCACTGGCTTCACCACATCCCATAAAGAAAGGCCAGACAGATCTGGGCATGTGGTTAAATCCCAAAAAAAAAGGCTTTTATGGATTTGGGCTCCGACTCCTCCCCTTCCAGCACTTAAAAAGTCCTGAAAAGTTCTTTTTTTGTGTGGGTTTTTTTTTTTTTCTCTCCCCCTTTTTTTTTTTTTCCTGTGGTTTTTTTCCCTCCTTTTTCCTTTTTTTTTTTTTTGGAGTTTTTTCCTTTTCTTTTTAAAATAAATTTATTTGGCAAACGCGTTAAACAAAGTACGAGCAGCTCCCCGGGAATCGGGATTTCTGCCGTACAAAAACACCCACGGGATGAGCACGGGATTTACTCGGACAAGGAGAAAATTCCAGGGGAAAAAAAAAAAAGGAAAAAAATAAATCTAAAATTAAGGATTTTTTTTTTTTTTTTTACGCCCGGTCTCCCACTCCCAGCTCCCTGTCGGAATTCCGGGATCCCGTGGGAGATGCTCCATGGCCTTTCTCCGGCCTTCCTGCCCCCTCTTCCTGCTCCTTCTCCCAACCCCTTTTCCCTTTTCCAGCTCCTTTTCCCATCCCTTTTTCCCTTTTCCCTGCCTCTTTTTCCATTTCCCGGCCCCTTTTCCTTTCCCCCTTTTCCAAACCTTTTTTCCTGGTTCCTTGCCCCTGCTCCCTTTTCCCTTCTCCCTGCCTCTTTTCCCGGCTCCTTTTCCCTTCTCCTGGTTCCTTTTCCCTTCTCCCAACCCCTTTTCCCAACCCCATTTCCCAGCCCCTTTTCCTTTTTCCAAACATTTTTTCCCGGTTCCTTGCCCCTTCTCATGGCTCCTTTTCCTTTTTCCCATCCCCTTTCTCCCTTCTCCCATCCCTTTTTCCCTTCTCCCATCCCCTTTTTCCCTTCTCCCATCCCTTTCTCCCTTCTCCCATCCCCTTTTTCCCTTCTCCCATCCCCTTTTTCCCTTCTCCCATCCCCTTTTTCCCTTCTCCCATCCCCTTTTTCCCTTCTCCCATCCCCTTTTTCCCTTCTCCCATCCCCTTTTTCCCTTCTCCCATCCCCTTTTTCCCTTCTCCCATCCCTTTTTCCCTTCTCCCATCCCCTTTTTCCCTTCTCCCAGCTCCTTTGTCTCGGGCAGGATCCCGGGATGGGGGAGGCAGAGGGACCCCGAAGCCTCTGAGCGAGAATTCCTTGGGATCCCCATCCCGTGGGATTCTCCCGGGACGGGGGTGGGGGTTGGAGCCCCTGAGGAGGAGGAGGAGGAGGAGGAGGAAGAATTCCCGGCTCCGGGATAGCACCAAGCTCTGGTCTCGAACACAGAGGAAGAATCAGATCTGGAGTAGAAAAATAAGGCTGGAATTGTCCGAGAGTTTCAGGACAGAGGGAATTCCCTCCTGGAGAAGGAATCCCGGGCCGGACTCGGGAGCGATTCCCGGCGGGATGGAGCTTGGAGCGGGATGGGATTGAGGGGATTTGGGATCGAACTCTCCAGAAAAAGCTTTGCTGGGGGGACAGGGAGGGAAATGATTGGGAAATGATCCCGTTTTCCCTGCTCTGCTGGGATGAGCGGGACATTCCCGAGCCCTGGAATTCCGGGACACCGCGGGGAGCTTTCCCAGGAAAAGCCGCTCAGGTTTCAGTGTTAAAAACTTGGGATTTTCCCCATTTTGTTGCCAAATGAGGGCGGGCTGAAACGAAGGAATAGCGAATTCCCGCAGCCGTGGAGCGGCTCTGCCCGTCCCGGTACCCCCGGGAATTCCATCCGCCTCTGGAAAACGCCTGGAGCAGCTCCCGGTGTCCAGCCTGCCCCGCTTGGGGAATTTCGCAATTCCGGATCCAGGGAATTGCGAATCCTTTCCCATGGGAATTGCTCCCTGTCCCGTGATGGGATCCCTGGCATTCCTAACCCAATCCAAAGCTTTTTTGGGGGAACGGGGAAACTCCCAGGATTTCACCTCAGGGTTGTTTTTATCCCTTCCCAAAAAACCTCAGGATAACCGGGAATGGCCTCTCCCTGCCGTGGCCTTGGGAAATCTTTTTCCAGCCTCACGGATTCTGGGAATGTCTCCCAGGCGCTGCTGAGCCCCGGGATGGGCCCTGGGGACATGGACTGGGCTCGGACCCCCAAATCCCGGGATCTGCCTCTTCCCGACGGATCCTGTGGCCACTCCATGGGAATTCCCGGAGCTCTCCCGAGCATCCGCCAGCCCTGGCACTTTCCAAGGGCTCCATGGAAGCGTCTCCTTCTCTCCTTTTCCCTGCTCCCCTTTTCCCTGGATCCCCCTTTTCCTTCTCCCCTTTTCCCTGGATCCCCCTTTTCCCTGGATTCTCCTTTTCCCTGGATTCTCCTTTTCCCTGGATCCCCCTTTTCCCTGGATCCTCCTTTTCCTGGATCCCCCTTTTCCCTGGATCCCCCTTTCCCTGCTCTCCCAGGCTCCTCTCTCCATCCCGGGTCACCCCTGGGAGATCCAAGCTCTCCCGCCTCAATCCCATTCCCAGATTCCCAAGGCTGGGAACGGAGCTGCTCCTCCCGCTCCCCCTCCCCACCCACCCCAAACTTCCCGGGACACTTCCCAGGCCCCGAGTTCAGCGGGAAGAATTCCAGTGCGGAAAAAGGAGATGGGAAACGCCGGGAATTTGCCGATTTGGGTTGAAACCCCCCCAAAAAAAGTCGATTTTTCCAAGATTCCGGATGCAGGGGGAGGCTCCTTCCCTTCCCGAATTTGGGGACAGCACAAAGATCCCGGCCTCCCCCATCCCTAAAATTCCTCCTGGGATCTCTCCCAGCTGAGAATTCCCCCGCAGGGCCATCCCTGGATCCGAGCAGAGCCGTGGGATGCAGGGAAAAGCTTCTCCAGCCTCCCTTTGGCCATTCCCAACTGGGATTTTTCCAGCTGGATTTGGGGATTTTGGAGTTTTTTTGGTTTTTTTTAATTCTGATTTTCTACAAAATCGCTCCCACCTCGTCCCTTCTCCAGAGGAAATTCCCGCTTGGATTCCCACTGGGAATGACCCCGCCCTCCTCCTCCTCCTGCACCGCCCCTTTCCCATGTCCAAATATCCCGATAAAAAATCCCCCTCCGCCCTTTCCTCCCTCAACCCCGGATCAATTTTTAAATCCCAATTCCAATTTTTAATCCAGCTTTCCTCTCCGGGAAGCGACCGCCCCTTTCCCTAAAATCCCCCCCTTTCCCAAATGGATTTTTTCAGGATTTTTTTGGGGATGTTTTTTTTTTTTCTCGGGGAATTTTTTTGATTTTTTGTTTGGTTTTTTTTTTTTTTGTTTTCTCAGGAATGATAATTATTTTTTTTTTTTAAGTTCTGTTTGAAGCCAGCGTTGAGTTTTTACCCTCTGGGCGCAGGTGGAAGTGTGGAGGAACCTGGATCCGGAGGTTGGATGGGAATTCCTTTCCGGAAGGATCCGGAGCTATAGGATGATGCAGGGTTTTTTGTCCTTAAAGGGATTCTCGGAAGCGGGAACTCCCACCAGGAGAGGATCGTTCCGGGCATGCTGCTCACAGTAATTCATCAGCTCCGAGGATGCTTTGGACACCTGGAAATGGGGGGGAAAAAAACCAGGAATTTGTGGGAATATTCCCAGCTCAGAGTCACTGGAACTTCCAGGAGTTTTGGGGATTTACATCCAGATTTTCCCTGAAATTTCCACTGAAGTTTGGTGGAGATGAGGAGGAAAAATTGGACGTGGAAAATCAGGATTTGTAGTGAGGAGAGTGGGGAAATAACCCAGCAGGGAGATGTAAATGTAATGTTGTATCCATGGTTTTTAGGGATTTGGGATTAGTCTGAGGATCCTTTAGAGACCTGAAATTTTCCTGGATATTGGGGAAAAAAAACCCCAGGAATTTGTGGGAATATTCCCAGCTCGGAGTCACTGGAGCTTCCAGGATTTTTGGGGTTTGACATCCAGCTTTTCCCTGAAATTTCCACTGAAGTTTGGTGGAGATGAGGAGGAAAAATGGGAATTGGACGTGGAAAATCAGGATTTAAAGTGAGGAGAGTGGGGAAATAACCCAGCAGGGAGATGTAAATGTAATGTTGTATCCATGTAGGGATTTGGGATTAGCTCCAAAGATGCTTTCAAGACCTGGATATTGGGGAAAAACCCCAGGAATTTGTGGGAATATTCCCAGCTCGGAGTTACTGGTGCTTCCAGGATTTTTGGGGTTTGACATCCAGCTTTTCCCTGAAATTTCCACTGAAGTTTGGTGGAGATGAGGAGGAAAAATGGGAATTGGACGTGGAAAATCAGGATTTAAAGTGAGGAGAGTGGGGAAATAACCCAGCAGGGAGATGTAAATGTAATGTTGTATCCATAGTTTTCAGGGATTTGGGATTAGCTCCGAGCACGGACACCTGGATGTTGAGGGGTGAAAACCCAGGAGTTTGTGGGATATTCCCAGCCCAGCGAGGATTTCCATCTCCAGTTCCCAGAGGGAATCCCGGATCGCTGCCATTCCGAGCTGGGCACATCCCAGGGGAGGAAAAGTCGGGATTTTTCCCGCTGCCATCCTCACCTTGATCCTCTCGATGCCGGCCTCGATGCGGAGCTGCTCCACGAGCTTGCGGGCCTGCGCTATGTTGTTAGTCGTGGACATTCTCTGCCATCGGCTCCGGGCCCCGGCACAGCAGAATCCTGGAAAAAACATGGAAAAAGCGGGGTTGGAGCGGTGGGCGGAGCTGCTCCGGCTGCGGGACCACGGCGGCATTGCCTGGGATTTGTGTCCGGCATTCCCATGGGATTTGTGTCCAGAGGGATTTGTGTCCAGATTTTCCATGGATTTGTGTCCAGCCTTCCA